CCCTCCGGAGAACAAAGCGCCCAACCACAACATTGACGAGAATCAGCGTCTCAACCGCAACAATCCCCCAGCCTAGGGCAAATACAAAGTTCTGAGATATGCGTAGTTAGCCCTGGGAAAAGGAAGTTAGGAAGAGAGAAGCTTACCAACTCCCCACAAACCAGCCGGAACTGGACATCTGGATGATTGACCCCAGAGTTTTTACAGGTCCAGCCCCAAATCGTATCTCCCTCCCCCTCCCCACCAATTAAGCATCCAGTACCCACAGCAGCAAGCACAAGATTAATACCGCTCACCCCGAAATTCAACCAATCCCCCGACCCGCCAATATGTCTAATATCCGGCTTCAATCCCGAAACTAGCACAATCGTAGATAGCACCGCCGTCACTGAGGACATAGCTAGCAGTATCGTCGTAGGGTGTAGGTTGATCACAGCCGGCCACAAGTCCCGTCCATTGTACAACATGTGTCGCGGGAAGGTGCGGTTTATGGTGGAGTAGATTGTTGATATGGTGACTAGTATCGCGAAGGAGAATAGGGCTGCTGTCAAGCGCAGGATGAAGCGGGTCCGGGAGACGGAGAGGGAGGCTGTCGGGGATGTGGGTGGTGGTGGAGGTCGCGAGAGGCCAGTGGTTATGTGAGTTATTGGTGGTAAGGGAAAGGTCTTTTGGAGGGATGTGGTGGAGGAGATAGATGATGGGTAGGATGATGGACGGGTAGTTGCTGCTGGTGGCGGCCGAGGTGGGAATCTTTCGGAGAATAATGTCATTTTTTCGTTTGTGTTGATAGTAAAGTTTATCTGTAGCTGAGTGGATATTCGGTGATGCCCCCCATTCCTTCCAATCTTTTTTAAATCGAAGAACCTCAAGTGTTGAATTCCCGTCCAGATATATATTTCTATTCCACCCTACATCCCACCACCTGTGTGCTAAAAACTCTCCGCATATTTCAGGAAATGGCAGAAACTTGAAACACGTAACTAAGCTTACTGGTCTGAGTTTGCCTACGCTTGGACGCCTCGAAGAGGGAGGTTACAATCTTTCTGGGCAATGTGCTACCGTTTGATACAGTATCCTGGTTCTTGGAGTAAGAGAATGTTACTAAGGAGTTGTCTCTCTCTCGTGAAGGTGTGCTCCTTACTTCTGATTTTTGGGTCGAGCAGCCCGCTGTGGTTGGGTGGGGGCGCCTGAGAGTGCTGTAATTGGGAGTGAGTGCGCTAAGAATAGGGTTTCTGGAAGTGATTAGATAAGCTTCGATTCACAAGTAGCGTGCTAGGCAGATGCGGTGTCGGGATCACAGGTTTCCTCTCTAAGGGCTCACCTGGGGGATTTGGGTTGATAGAGCTGCAAGTACTAGTACAAGTACCGCAACTCAGCCTGCTTTTGCTTATTAACTACTATAGTTAATGCGATGATTATTGGGGAGTTCTCTATCGGTGGTCGCAGCGGCGGTTGAGTGGGACTTAAGCTCGGGCTGTACTTGCGAAACCTAAACTCAGACATCTCTACAAAACGGTCAAGATAGCCAACCATAAAACAATCCTCCAAATTATTTCCACCACCGTTCGAGAGTCATCCCATTTTAACATTTCGTCAAAAAACCATTTTGGGAGCAAATACCCCCTAAAGATCTGCAGAACCTTCCAAATCCCCCCATCATGGGGAACCTCTAACCCGGCACCACAACCGAGCCACTCCATTCCTAAAACAGACTCCTTACTGCATCAGGCACTTCAAGCGAAACTCCGACACTCGTTTCAAAACACCAAGCCCCAAACCCTCTTCGACTTAAACCTTGATCGCCCTTCCCCTATACCTCAACCTCTATCTGAACCCCTCGTCTACGGTACTTACACTAAGCAAAGACCGCTATGATACAATGCTGGATCCACTGAACTCAAACGTCCCCAACTCATTCCCCTTTTCGCCAACTCATTCCCCTTTTCGATCTCCGCCCCTGGAGTTCGTGCCTTTTCGCTGAAACTGTCTTTTTCTCCCTTAGCCTTAGCCTTGCTTGTTTGCTTATTAAGCGGGAGCGCTTGTTTGGGAAGGGAGGGGAATGTGCACTTTCCGAACGGTTCCAACCTCTATTGCTCTGATTGCTACAAAAAGCACCAGTCTAAACTCTGGGCCATTGCAAGTGCGCATCTGGCGTTCCGGGTGAGTAGACATAGTGGGTCGATCCGTAGTGGTCGCATGAGATCGCTTTCCACCATTCGACTTTCCCTGAAACAGGGGAGTGATAGTGGTGATAGTCCTGCAGCGACAAGCGGGGGCTGGCTACGTCTCCGTTATCCCAGACTTCCAGGTAATGCTATGGTCGGGAGATTGGATGGGTGTTGAGATTGCGAAGTGCGAACCTTCAATCCGGATTTTTTTGCACTCGCGAAACAGTGTCGTAGACCACTGCTCCACGGTCTGGGGAGCAGATTGCTTTTCTCTGGTATGATATAAAGCTAGATTTGTATAGAAACTGCACGGCGAGATGACTTACTGGGTTGCCCTTGGCATATATTGACCGGGCCTCTGGCTTGTGATAAAGGGCAAAGAATCTTTGGAACGTCTGCCAAAGTTAGCAACTGTTATTTAGGGTATGATTTGGGATTACCGGATAGGCGCCTGGATCACTCGGTTTCAGTTCATCCATGCGGATGTGATAGAAGTCTATAAAAGACTCTGCTTTCGTGACGAAGGTTTTGACATGCTTTTTGCTATAGATCCCACCCTGCTTGACCTGACTATAACTATTCTCACTACGAAGAGTTACCAACCTTCCTATCTCGACCCGCTCGTGCAAGTGCCAGAGGAAAATATGCAGTGTATCGACTGGCGAATAAGTATCCTATCCTCCCGAGTAAGAGGGGAAGTGAATATACTCCATTCGAGCAAAGGATTAAACGGCAGTAACAACTTGATCTTTTGAATAGCGGTTGTTGTTCCCTTTCATGTCATTCAGTCTCCATGAAAATTAGTACTGCAAACTCTCCATCTTTAGGGGACGACTAACAAACATGTCTTCCTGCCAACCGAGAGCCACCCAACCTCTCTGCTTTGCACCTACCACTCGAATGTCAGGCACAAGCCATTAGTCTCCCTCTATCACATGGGGGTAGTTACCATCCTGGCGCAGGCAAGGCCGTAGTCAGACCAACCATGTAGAGAAGTGAAGAAACCCATTTTGTCTGGAAAACTCTGTTTCAAGGGTCAATGGGGCTCAATTCTGCACCGAATTCACTGAGGAGAGACCGTGGTCAGATATATGGTCAGACTTTGGATTATAATACGACGAAAGAATGGTTCCCAAAAATTCTTGGTGGATGACACGGTCCCCTATGCCAGGCCAGAGTGCCTGTTTCCGCAAGATCTTCATTGAAGGGGGCAAAGACCGGGGGGGCGAAACTCAAGGGAAGATCTTGGGATGAAGTGGGATACCGGTAGGGAGATGAGACGAGAAAAAGGCAGTGGCACACAGGCTATGGTGCTAAAGCTCCCGTGTATTCAGTGTAATATATTGTCTTGTAAGGAAATTGCCTTAGAGTGGACACGATACTAGCAGTTCCTGCCATCAGAGAACCCACCGACACACCTACCATCACGAGAAACTCCTCGATAATTTACGATGGCGGAGTACATAGAGAATATGGATAGTCCGCAACCGGGACAAATATTTGAGATGAAGTGAGAGGTAACTGAATTTTACCTCATATATAATCTCTATTAGAGTACTAATACCCCGAACGCCGCATATTTTGAAATCTGACATGATATAGTAAGGTAATCCACCCCCCCTTACTCACCCCGGAATCAGCACCCATTTCCAGCATATACTTCGCGTCCTCCTTAACCGCCCTATAGGTAGCCGTCCCATCCCCAACACTTCCTTTGGTTAGCGAACTGAATGACGCTCCCGGATCTGGCGCCTAATCATATCCCCGTTAACGCTTCTAATTCCTCCTAACTAAACTCAAAGGGGACAAAATACATCAGTGCTTTTGGCACCGTGGAACCCCGCCTTGGCATGTAGCCACGAGGAGTCCACATAATCAGGCGTTTACAGCAGTTTTGGTAAGGCCCATACCCCCTCTCATTTGCAGTGTTCTAATGGCTGGTATTTGAGGAAGCCATTTTACGTGGCTTTCGAACGAATGATTGTCACTGAGAGGGATCTCAAGGAGCAGCTATCAGCCCTGTGAGCTAAGGCAAGGATCGTTGTTCCGGCTCGCCTGTGCTTGAGAAAAGTGGTGACATTAAGATATTTGTTTAAGTCAAGCCTATGGATGGACGACCCTCTCTACTGAGACCTCTTATCGATAAGAGCTCCCTAACCCAGAGAATCTCTACCTGGTGGGCGGACCACGGCTGCATCGAACACGCATTGCACCCCGAGGGACCACAAGAGTGCCTAAACCGATCTAGCCAAAGGGGGGCAACTTTGATTTATCGTACCGGTCTCCTCCGTTATACTCTCCGGCCTATCAACAACAGAGTGCCGAGTTGTTCAATTGTTCACCGGTATCCTTCCCATCTTAATCCTACACATTCACCAAGGTAATCTACCTCAGTCGTACTAACCGATACTGCCAACACAGATACTGCCAATATTTGGCGCATATTGGGGTGTATTAAGGACGGAGTAATCGCAGACTAGCATTGTGCCGTATTTTTCGTGTCGTCAAATCCTTGGGGACAATACCCGGCCGAAATGACACCAGTCTAGGAAATGGCCACTCTCTGCCATTCAGCCACTTCATAGAGCAGTGTTAGGAATATTACGGCACCTATCATAGCTTTCCAGGGAGTCACTTTAGAAACCTCATTCCAAGCTTTTGGTTGCGGACACAACGGGTGCGGTAATAGTTCTTGGTGAGGCAAACAAGCAGAGAGTTGAACCTCGGTAGAAACTAATCCCGAGTACCGGTAGCCACCCCTCTCTCGGAACGGGTTAAGATAGGCTGTGGAGGGCATTGTCCGGGTAGATGATATCTTCCCCTCACAACTCCCCACAACATGCTATGTAGCGTACAGTACTATACCAAACTACTCTTGCACCTCTTATGCTACACACTACCTTACACCCCCGAATTTGCCAACGATTAAATATCACGCAATTACAGTCGCGCCACCAAACCGAGACAACAGCGACCTACAGCCCCGTGGGACGGACATGATCGCGGTATAGTTCCATAGCCTATTATATGAAAGGAAAAAGTCAAAAAATAGTTATTGTACAGTACTATAGGTGGACTGGCGATAGGAATGTGGGCACAAGTACAAGTATGGAGAATCCGCCATCCTATTTCTCTTTACCTCCCCATCGGATCACCGCCGCAGCCTATCGACGAACGTGTACAACGTGTTCATTACATCGCGATGCCTATTTCTTCCCGTTGGTCCTGCGATATACCCAAGTGCTCTCTGACTACGTATCTATTTGAGTCCCCAACCGCACCCCTGCCCAAGGAACCGCTATATATTGACCCCCTAGATCCCAAGAAATTCGTCTCCTACCATGCATATCGTTCTCTAGTTCAGCGGATTGCCACAGGGCTCTTGGCCTTCGGTTTACGGCATGGTGATAGAGTGGTTTTGTTCTCTGGTAACAACATTTTCTTTCCTTCGTTTTTTAATGGAATCGTTGCAGCCGGAGGGATATTCACTGGAGCAAACCCAAGCTTTCTTCTAAGAGAAATAGAGCAGCAGATTAGGAGTTCTGGGGCTAGGTTTTTGGTTGCCCATAGAAGCAATAGTGGTATTGCGAGGGAAGCTGCGGAGAATGTTGGATTAGATGAGGGGAGCGTCTTTATGTTTGATGAAGGGTTGGATATAACGGCTGATGGGAAGATTCTTGGGTGGGGGGATAAATCAAGTCCTGGTCGGACACGGCATTGGAGCGATATTGTAGAAAAAGGTTATGATGGGTTTGTCTGGCAGGAGCTCAAGACCGATGAAGAGCTCGACACTACCGCTGCAATTAACTACTCCTCTGGGTGCGTTACCCTTACAATGACGTCTTTTCATTGTTAACACAGCCTAGGACCACCGGCGTCCCAAAAGGCGCCCAAATCACTCACAGAAATATCGTCACAAACGCTCATCAAGTGGTCTCTCTGCGCATGCAGTCCAATTCTGCTCCCAATGACTCTCGCTGGCTAGCCATGCTACCAATGTATCACGTATATGGCCAAACCTATTACGCAATCATTGCGCCCAAACTTCGAGCTCTCGTCTACATGCTTCAAAAGTTTGACTTTGGAGCCTTCTTAACGACGATTCAAAAACACAAGATTACCACTATTGCCGCTGTACCCCCAATTATGGTTGCCCTGGCAAAGCACCCCGACGTCATAAAATTCGACCTTAGCTCCCTGAATGTATTAGGATGTGGAAGTGCGCCTTTAAGTAGAGACATTTCGAGGGAGGTGGAGGAAAGGGTAATGAGGGGCCGGGCAGGAGAAGAAAGAGTAAACTTGAAGCAGGGATGGGGAATGACGGAGTATTATGAATTACCCTGTTGGGGCTATGGCATGAGCTGACATTGGTACGTGTGGTAGGGCTACCTGCTCGGTCACAGGCTTCCACCCAGATGACACGGATGAGGAGGGTTCTGTCGGTGAATTGCTACCGAATTGTGAGGGCAAGGTTTGACCAATCCTCCCCACTCATGAGTCAATGTTTATTGATAATGAATTACTGCTAGGTCATGGACGCCGAAACTGCAACCCGGGAACTCCCCCCGAATACCCAGGGTGAGATTTGGGTTCGAGGGCCTATCATTATGAAGGGATACTATAGAAACAAGGCCGCAACTGAGGACACGATCACTCCAGATGGTTGGCTCAAGAGTGGGGATATAGGGTACTATAATGAAGCAGGTCGGTGGTTCATTGTCGATCGGAAGAAGGTTTTTCCCCTTATTGTTCCGCCTACTTAGCAATAGGCTAACCTTTACCAGGAACTTATCAAAGTGAAAGGGAACCAAGTGGCCCCAGCAGAACTTGAAGGGATGTTGCTAGAGCATCCTAGTGTTGCTGATGCCGCGGTCGTCGGAATCCCACAGTTTGTTGCCGTGACATCTACCCCCTTGCCCAATTCCCTTACCCTGTTAACCCATAAATGATAGCGCTGAGGACGAACGACCGCGCGCATACATCGTGAAAAAACCAGGCACAACCGTAACCGCAGACGAGATCAGCGAATGGGTCAAGAAGCGAGCAATAAGATACAAGTGGATCACCGGGGGTGTCATATTCATTCCCGCGGTTCCAAGGAATCCCGTTTGTCGCCCATCATTAATGCATACTTTTTAACAAGGCGTAGACTAATTCTTGGCATAAAATCTAGTCGGGCAAGATCCTCCGAAAGGGTCTCAGAGACAGAGCCAAAACTGAGACTAGAGACTCAGGAAATGTAGCAGCCAAGCTGTAGCAAAAAGTTGGTACCGAAACCCCGGATTACAGTGCCATAGTTAGGTTTATCCACTTATTGATACTCTTTCTTCCTTTGTTCTTTACGAAACTCCCTTATCGCGTGGCAATCGTGTTGTAGAAACAAAAAAAAACTCCGAAACATCCAGTCAGATTTTCAAGATTGTTTCATAGAACGAGTGAGATTTTGTGAACGCCTCCCCTGCAATCCCATTTCAAGAGGTCCTCTGCTTTAAGGCCAGGTTATAGACCTGCCAATACCCAAAATCCAGACCTCATATACCGAATTTTTTTTATCCCCATCAGCTTCCCAACCCCCCTGTCTCCTACAACACATCGCCAAAATCACAATATCAAAAATCCAACATCATGAAGAACATCCTCATCCCTCTCCTCATATTCCTCCAGATGGTGCACGCAAACCACTGGCTCCCGCAAACCTCCTCCGCCCCTTGCGCACCCAGCAAAAACTCCACCTGGACACTAAAAACCTATCCCTGCGCCCCGCAAACCTCTAACACTACCTCAACATTCTGCTGCCTTCCTCACGAAATCTGCCAAATATCTTTCTGGGGGAGAGCCCAGTGCCTCCCAAAACTCACCATCCCTTACCACCCTCCCAGACCCGCGAACTGCTCCGGTATGGCAGAGTGTCCGCTATTTTGCAAGCAGTGAGTATCCCCCCATCGCCTTCTTGAAAGGAAAGGAGAGGAAGAGGAAGGCAGAAAAGTAGTAACGGATAGCCGGCTATGTTCCAGGAGCGAGTTCGCCTGCGGCAATGTATGCTGCTCCAATGGAAAAGCTTGTCTTTCAGAGGTCTGTTTCGAGAATTTACCTGCGGAAGCGGAACTTACCGCTTCTGACAACGCCAATGCACAAGAACATAGCATTGCACCACCGCCTCCGCTACCGGTGCCAGCGGCGTCCCGTGTTCCTGCCGAGGAGGGGAAGGAGATTGAGTGGGTAAGTGGCAAGTCACTTACCGCCGTCGCGGTCGTGGCCGTGTTATTCATGACTATTGCACTCGGGATCACCTGGTGGCTTTGCCTGTATAGTCGGCAGTGGCGCAAGGAGAGGGCTAGGAATTCACCTGCCGGGTTGAGGAGGTTACCAATTGTGGGATACGTGAATGGCGGAGGTGGCGGGAATGGGGTTGGGCAGTGGGTGGATGCACCATTGCCTGTGTACTCCAGGAGTGCTCGGGTTGGGGAGATTACGGTTTGGAAGTAGGTGTTTGTCTAGGTATAATAACTTTAGAGGTTGGGTTATGATGGGGCAGAGACCACTTTCTTTCCTTTTTCTCCTCTTTTTTTCTTTTAATATATTCTGGCATTCCTGGGACGGCACTGGGTAAAATTATTATTACTTCATCCTCTTCTTCATTAATTCTACTGAATGGCCATGAAGGGATACATTTAAGGCGAGATTCTGGGGCGTAGCGAGAGACTGTTCCCTCAAGTCAACCTTCCAATAGCCCACGGGTCCCGGAATAGACTCCCACTACCATCGTCGTGATCAGTATTGTAGTCAGATAGCTGATAGTCGGTCCTTCACTGATCCCCTCAGAAGGAAAAATCAGCACAAAGCTTAGATGTTGCGAAGTAAGGATAATTGCAATACAAAATATTTTGTCAGTCGTCCCCCCAATATATGATATCTCGCAATATTGCTATTTTCCTTACACCTTAACCCATGCGCCCTGCATGACAGAAATACTGTCTTTCCCATAAAATGGGCGCAGGAGCATCTACTATATGGTCACGATATCAATTATTTCTTTGAAGTCCGCCTACTTCAGTATTACTACCAAATGTGCCATCTTGCAAAAATACCACAACATATCTTTTATCAGCACAAGTTATGCCTATGCCGTACGGGTCACCAAAAGCTCATAAAATTGATTACAAATAAATACTGTTTCTTTACTAATTTAGCGCTTTTCCTACGGCGCCCGCTGAACCCGCCGTGTGCAGTGCCGTACTTGGTACTCCCGCGAAGCTCCCGCATACAATTCACCCGGGACCACCACCACGAAGCACGAAATTTTCTTTGAATGAGTCCGCATTGAATTCCTCTTTGTCTCGATATCCTCTCAGCTCAATTCCCCGCTCGTATCATGGGATTTCCCGGAAATAGTGCGGCAGAGTGGTCACCCTCACACACTAATATGCGATAGTAGTCTAGATCCGCGGCTCGATCAACCGGATGTAGCACTTGGAATCCTATCAAAATGCACAAGTGAACTAAGGGACACACGGTGATAGTTAGTATTTCACATCTCAGTATTGGTTTGGCGATCTCTTGACAGGTTTTCAGATCAGAGCGTAGTACGAGTACAGTACAGTACACCTCGTGAGTAACCTGTTGCGGTAAAGGGCTATTGCACTTTGGCTGCCGGTATGCTGGCAGAGAGAGTTAGTCCCGGGAGCTGCAGTACAGTTGTCACGCTTTCAGGAAGGAATGTTACAAGACCATGAATGTGATAGTGCATCAGCATCTGAGCGGCTTGGCTTCTTCGACACGTATCATATCTCGTCTATCATCAAGACACTGGCATTGTAACGAGCTGTGCTTCAAGCAGCCTAGCAGTAGTAAGACATGATAGATCCTGACTGATCTGCACCTTTCCTTGAGCGCAGGTCTTCTTTTGGAGGGAGCGACGAGTTGTTTCAGTAGTGGTGAGATGGCCGGAATGCCACCATCCCTCCAGAATAGCAGGGCTAGAAGACTCTAGTTGTAGCATTGCATGTGTGATATATGGAATTTGAGGTAATTGTGTAATAAAAAAAAAAAAAAAAACTAGGTATTTGTAGTGAACGTAGTTGTGTCACTATATTATTCTGCTCTGTTCTGGTATCGCTACCTAGAGGAAGGGGGGAGGATTGAAGGGTTCGGGATCTGTGGTCACTGCTGGATAAGTACAGTATCACCGTGCCAAGGTATCGGTACGTACTCGAGTATAATACACCTCTAGTACCTCATTTTGTTCAGTGATTTATGATGACCAGAACGACAACCACCCTTTTCCGGAAAAGACTAACCGAAAACGTCACAACTCCAAATCTGAGATTCCAAAAGCAATCAGTACAAGTATATCCCAGAAAGCTATCAAATATGTGGTGAAATACCTTAAAAGCGGGCTACAGAATCTTCACCCCGCTGCTCCCTCCCCGCCATCTCGGTTCTCACCGAGCTTTCATACCGCATGCTTCTTTGGCTCACCCGGAAGGGAGAGAAACGATTGCACCTTATCCCGATTACTCTATTGTGTTACCGACAACTTTATCCCAGTCAAAACACAAAGGATGCTCAGCGAGAGCTCCATAGGCAGTCTATGGTAGCTGACCGGTTCATCTGCCACCGACCAGGTTTCCCCGGGAAAAAAAATTAGTAAGGTATCATACCGGTATTAACTTAGTACGGAGGATCCTCCCTTTTTTTCTTTCACACTTCCCCCCCCCCTCTTTATTTGTAACCCCGCCTCCCGTTTCATTCCTTAACCTTAACCCTCCCAATACCAGTACTTTTATTCCTCCCAATTACTACTGTTACTACTGCTACCACTATCATATCGTGCTTCTCCTATTGTGCCTTCTTCTCGGCTCATATATCGGCTATAACACGCGGGTGAGATCAACAACACGAAACAGGACAGAACCACTGACAGGGCTCGACTTTATCTCACGCGTCGATCATGGCAAACAATAATCCGCATAACTTTCCCCCCACTCTCATGCCGAATCAATGGATCACCCTCTATGCACTTACCTCCGCCATAATTCGGCCATTCACGGAGGATGAAATTACGGCATACATGCAATCCGTAGCAACGGATATCTCAAAGGAGCATGTTAGATCGTTTCTCCTAGACGAAGCTAGCTACACAAATGCCCGCTTCAGATCCGCTCTCGAGTACACCCTGGAGCAGAAGCTGCCAAAAAGCTCGGTCCAAGCAATATGCTTTGTGTTGAACCTTCTCGAGTACGTTCCCCCAAAACTCATTCCCCACCCCCTCACAACCCGTGGCTAACAATTTCCCTACAGTTCCGTACCCGGCTGCCTCCTCCTCACCTTCTCTCTGACCCCATTCCACCGTCAGCCGGTGCGCGTTCGTGAGGACCTTATTGTCTCTTGGCTCGACCAGTCATCCCGCCTCCTCTTCCCGCCAATTCGCGGGTTTGCGAAGGCCATCACGGCACTAACAATGATGGTCTGGACACGCAATGCGGATACAGACATGTACTACGGGGCCGTCGGGTATCCGGAGAAGACCGGAGCCGGGGTGAAAGCTCTGGATGGGGAACCCGGGGACTTCTACAAGTTTGAGTTTCTTGACTTTTCCACTAGCGAGAAGAAGGTGCTCGAGTGTGACGTTGTAATTGTCGGGTCGGGATGTGGGGGAGCTGTTGCGGCGGCTCGATTGGCGGGCGAGGGTCTTGAAGTTGTGGTTGTTGATCGCGGCGAGTGGTGGGTCCCATTTTGCCCCCGCTTGTTTCTGCGCTCCACGCGTCATCGTGAGCTTCTAAGTTAACACGGACCGCGCGGGGTTTTCAGGGTTTCACCCGACCAGTTCCCGTTACGGGAGACGGAGGCTCTTAATAAATTGTTTAGCAATGGTTTAGCTTCCACAACTGCGGATGGTGTTATCGCGCTGATATCGGGGGAGACGTTCGGTGGCGGTGGAGTTGTTAATTGGGCTGCTAGCCTCCAAGTATGCATTACCATTATAGGGTTAGGGTCAAGTCATGAAATCTAACTCGGGAAAAGACGCAAGGGTTTGTCCGGGAGGAGTGGGCGACGAAGCATAAACTTCCGTTCTTCCTTTCCAACGATTACCAAGATTGCTTGGATAAGTATGAGTTCCAACGTCCCTATAATATGAGGCTATGAGTGATTGACGGGGTAGGGTGTGTGAGCGAATGGGCGTCACGACGGAAGGCATTAAGCACAACCACCGGAATCAGGCTATGATAGAAGGATGCAGGAAGTTGGGCTACTCTACGGTGGCTGTCCCACAGAATACAGGTGCTACTTTACCAGGTGATAAAGAAGGCATAGTACGAGAACATGCAGATGGATATTGCGGCAATGGGTGTGGATGCGGCAAGAAAGGAGATGGCCGGAAAATGGGAACGTACGTTCATAACCAATGCGAATCATGATATCTCACTTGACTAACTGTATCCTTGGCAGAACCCATACCTGGCTCCCGGATGCCGCCCGAGCCGGTGCCCGCTTCATCCAAAGCTACTATACAGATAGAGTTCTCTTCTCTACCGATGCCAAAACCAAAGCCATGGGAGTAACAGGCACTTGGGGCCCACAGAAAGTCCCACTAAAGATCATGGCCAAAAAGGTCATTGTAAGCGCTGGTTCACTAAATTCTCCATGCTTACTCTTACGCAGTGGATTAACAGTAGCTCACCCCCTCCCCCATACTGCCACACACATGCAACCACTAAATGATACCAGAACCCCAACATCGGCAAACACCTCCACCTCCACCCCGGCGTCACAATCCAAGCCTTCTTCCCAGAGCGCACAGACCCTTGGGTAGGCTCCCCGCTTACCACCGCCTGCACGCAATTCGAGAACCTAGATGGGAGCTACCACGGCGGCAAGCTCGAAACCGCCGCGATGGGCCCACTAATGGCCGCGAGTCCGCTCCCCTGGCTCTCCTCGGCAAGCCTGAAGCGCACCCTGCTGAACTACCGCCACTCGGGCCTCTTCTTCACAATCCAGCGGGATCGCGATTCCGGCATGGTAACTCTAAATACCTGCGGCGAGCCAGTCGTCAAGTACACCATCAGCGAAGCCGACCGAGAAATGATCCAGACTTCCTTGCTAGGACTAGCGAAGATACTCTACGTCCAAGGAGCAGAAGAGATATTACCAGCAGTCTACGGCCTAAAGCCCTTCAAGCGCAATCCCACTGCCGCCGAGCGCGAGGAAGAAATCCGCGAGGAGGTCGCCGAGGCGGAGTCCTCCGGACGCTACTTCTGGGGTGAGAGAGACCGGGCCGAGGACGAGGAGGAAGAAGAAGGCCCATATGGACACGCAACGCATCAGTTCAATGACCCCGGCATCATGGACCGGAGGTTTCAGCGGTGGCTAAAGAAGTTTGCGGGTCACGGGATGGGCGGAGAAAAGACGGTTTATGGGTCGGCGCACCAGATGGGGAGCTGCCGTATGGGGAATGATGGAGGCGTTGGGTCCGTCGTGGACCCCAAGGGGAGGGTGTGGGGCACTGAAGGGCTGTTGGTTGCGGACGCGAGTGTCCTGCCGAGCGCGTGCGGGGTTAACCCTATGATCACCGTGATGGCTATCTCCGAGTGGATTGCTGGCGGGGTAGTGACAGAGTTGAAGCCGCAGAGGGGGGGTGGTGGTGTTAAAGCTTAGTTATGATACCATCGCGGATATATCCGGTTGGATTGTAGATTACTATGTACTTTAGTATATCATACTCGAGTAGTGATAGCCGGCTCCCTTCATATTATGAGCGAATCGAAATATGCCGGAACCGACTATATCAAACTCCCTTTCTTTTTCCCCTTTCTTTCTCTCCCTAAAATGCAGATGTTTTATGTACCGTACAACACAGCATCGAATTCATCACCAGCTCTTGGTCTTCATAATCCCTATCTTCTTCAACTCGGCACGCACCTCGAACACATACCCCAGCATATACGGCTGATGTCACCAGCCCTTCTCCAGACATAGACTATCCTCCCTGCCGCTTCAAAGTATATAGTCTCAAGCGTGGGCTTATACTCGGGAGGCCGCACACCTATCAACGATGACGCGGGGCCCATTCTCCACAACAACCCCATTCATTAGCCCCCTCCTCCGAGAAAAGGAACCCTCCCCCCCCGGAATAAAAACACAGGACTCAGTATCGTAACCATGACCTCCGGCCGCCCCCAGTCCACCCATACATACAAAAAAAGCGTCGGAAAACCCATCCGGGAGGTACCGTCTACTACCCTGCTGCCAGCGCTATACTGTAACATATCGGCGGCAGCTCGGGATAACCCACGGACCAGCCAATCCCCGTGCGGGAAGTACCGGTACCAGTACTAGTGTAAGTACGAGTACGAGAACAGCAGAGTCCGTTTGCGCCAGGCGGACGGCAGTGGAAGGAGGGAGGGCTATACGTAGTCTATTGCTGCGCTGGACACTTGTGAAGTGATGAGGGATGACTTGATTGGATTGGAAACCCTAAGTATCGCAAAACCATCAAAGTTCATAGTCTACGAGTATTTCGACTATCGTAGCGTATGGCGGGGGCGAAGACGATTTGAAAAAAAAAAAATGGAATTCAAGGAAACGGGCCGACGTCATTTCCACCTGACCCGCCAAGACCCGAGGGGGTTTATCCGAAGGTAAAAGTATAGTACCGTATAGTACCGGTATCGTACGCCAAGACTTCTTTCTATTCCCGAAAGTTATGATACCGGGATCCGGAAATCCGGTGGGTGGCTCGGCAACACAAACTGCGACACCATTATGTACTCGAGTACAGTACCGTATTCGAGTATGATACCTGCCCCGAAAAGAGAGCGAGTACCCTAACATTATTATTCTCCAAGCGTTTGTATTATTTCACAGTTTCCTTATTGATTCTTCCTGTCGCATTAATGGTTGAGCCAAGGTTAAATTCCAGATACTGTTCCTCTGAAAATAGCGAAGACCCCTCCGTGTTAGTCTGAAAATTAGCAGGTGGAATGACAAAGGAGGTCCCAGTCTATCTATCCGATAGGAGAGTTGAGCCAAGCCAAGTCGGATTAAAAAGCTCTAGGTCTCTTTGTTTCTTTCTTTCTTTCTTTCTTTCTTTCTTTCTTTCTTTCTTTCTTTCTTGATCTCACGATTGAAAAGTATGATAGAAATGTTCGAGTTAGTATCAATACGATATCACGCCAATTTCCACCCTCTCCCCCCCCATTCCCCTTCTACGTAACGTACCAATATCACACAATCTGCCCCCCCAACAACACCCCCAAATAGCACCAAAACTCCACTCAAACCTCCAAATTCCAAATATAGCTCTTCAGCACCCAGCGCAGCAGGGCACAGCACAAAGAGCCCCCATCTCACCCACCCCACCATTAACCAAATTTGTTCACCTTACCAGTATGATACCTACCGGTACGCCTCACTTGCACGAAAAGCCCTACGGTACCTACCGTAACCACCATATCATACCACAACACCGTCACGTTATCTCACCTCACCCATCATACCTACCCGCGCCGCGATAAACGCGGCTCTTATCATAGAACAATGCCTCGGCTGCCCTGCCCTCCTCCAGCCAACCAACTATGATACTTTCCAACCAACCGACCAGCCATAAATACACTTATCCTTTCTTTTTGCAAAAACAAAATAAACTCAAAGAGAGAATTCATGTCCTGCACTGCGCTGCGCTGCACAGCACAGTGGTATATGCAATGTGGCAGTCACTAACTCTCACCCGATTCGCGACTTTTCTCGTGGGCTCGATTTCCCACATGTACAGTATGGTACTCGAGTACGCGCTCGGGAAAGCAGGGGACAAATTTGAATGCTTGGAGTTGCCGTATGTGTCGTACTGCACTGGTGGAAACTATTTGTGTCGTGCGTGCCCCGGGCTAACAGTAGGGACCGACCGGCCTTGTCCGCGAAGCGGGAAAATGAGGAAGGGAGAGTGTTATCTTGTGCGGTATCATAGGTTATTCTTCTACCCATGGCAATCATGGGGTTAGTGGGATGGATAGACTAGGATCTATCAAGAGGTGCAAATAACCGACGATCCACCCGTCGCCCTGGGACTTGGTGTTTCTCATCTAGATAAGTCCACAACAGTCATTCCACGATCTGGCACGGTAGGGTAGAGTAGCAGATAAAATATTTGTGCACGAGTAAGATATTTTTCCACTGGACAAACAGTTAGCGCGGATAAGCTAGGTAGGCAGATAGATAGATAGGTAAGCAGAAATTATACTAGACTACTGTATCATGGGCATGAGTACAGAAAACCCAGGGATATCGGGAGAGAAAAAAGAATCACTGCGAAAGAAATATGAAAGAGAAAAAGTAAAATTCAAGACCGAAAAGCCGTCCCTAAACTCCGGTAGGAAAAAAGAGAGAAAGAAAAGCCTTTGGTACAGAAGGAGGTGAAAATGACGCGAGGATAAAGAATGGCCAGAGAGGGTGATGGAAAGCCGCCCGAAGAGGAAGAAGAGAAAACCCAGTCGATCCTCAGAGCTGAGTTTTTCTCCCCATTTATATATCCTGGTGTGATAGATCGTGATAACGAGACAGGACGAGACGAGACAGGACGAGACGAGATGTGATAAAGTGACGGGTGAGATTTCTGAAAGGAAAGGGAGAGAGATCTGGAAGAAAAAGAGGCCAATCATAGATTTGACGGATATGATCTGCCATAGCAAATGTGATATTCCCTCTCTTGCGCCCTGGTGTCCAAATTCACCCTTGGGCACCATATCCACATTCACAGACTATGAACAATATAGGTAGGCAGTAGGAGAGAGAAGATTAACACCAGACAGACAGAAAGAGCTAGAATTGAAAAGAAAGCAAGAAGAACAGAAGATAAGGGTAGTCGGAAAACAAAAGAAAAGGCTCAAATCCCTCCCATTCATACAAACCCAGACATTCAAGACCTATGACCAACGAGAGACACCGAAGAATATACGCCGTTTACCCCCCCCCCACCACTCCCTTCCTAAGAATATATGCATCCTTGCTGCATACCCATCGTTACTAAACAAAGAGCCTCCTTCTTTCATCTGCCAATCATGAGCACTGGTCTAGAGCCAGTGCTTTGCTAGGAAGCTCCATGGGGAGGCTCAAGACAACCCCCCTGGCGAAGGCAACAAAAAGAGAGAAACAGGAATAGCCAAAGGGACTGCAAATTAGACAACCCCTGATATAGTGAAACAATATGATCTATCCGATGAAATTCCATGCAAGGAGAACCCAAAATGAAATCGTCCACCCATCATCCACAGACAAAAAGCAAAGATTTGGTTAAGAAATATAAACCGAGCAACGTTGGCAATCGAAGGCTGCTGTAGTCATTTTATTGCAAACTTTCCAGCGGAATAGATATGGCAAAGATATCCTTCATCAAGATTAGGCGCAAAGTGCGCATGCATGGCAGCTATTATCAGTACCCCTCTCCACGTGATAATGTCGCCGCTGCTGCCAGCCGCTCCGCCTGTCTCTCCAGTCTCAACTTTGTAGCTTCAGTTCCCTCATCCTGCACAACCTCGCGGAACCATGGGTGCTTCAGCGCCTCCTTGGCAGTGATGCGCTTGTTAGGATCGTAAACGAATATCCTTTTGAGAAGATCGAAAAACTGCTTGTTGAAGTTCGTGGTCGGTTGGATGATATCCTGTATGTATACTATTAGTATATGGCATCGAAAAACGCTTCAATAGTGATCCCTACCGGGAGAGGCTTCATAGCGTGAACATATTTTTTACTGGCTCTTGTTGTCTCATCGTTGGGATAGTCGAGCCGGGTTCCTTTGAAATATCTGTCCAGCTATTTCAGTATAATTCTTACAATGTCTTTTAAGAGTAGCGTACCTCGAAACCGCGTTGGACACCGCAGTTCTTCCAGTCCCCGCTACTGCTCTGATAAGCCTCGTATCGATCTTTTGTCCAACAACAGCCTGCATCATTGCCAAGTGCTCAAGATTGTCATGGGTTTGAAAAAGAGCGTCGCCAGTGTAAAATTCCACCAAAATACACCCGATGCTCCAGAGATCACATGGGAAACTCCAACCCAAGCCCAGAATAATTTCGGGCGCACGGTAGTGGCGGGTAGAAACCACGCTCGAATGATATTCATCATCAAACGTAGCGGATCCGAAATCAATTAGACGAATATCCGTGTCCAAGAGAACACGGCGGGTCCGGCCCTGCCTTTGGGTAGTTGTTGAAGAGGAGGGTATAGCCCTGTTGTAATTAAATGTCTGGAATGAATTGTGAACGAGGAGAATATTTTCCGGTTTAAGATCGGTATGAATGAGGTTCAGATCGTGAAGAACTTTGAAAATTAGTAAGGAAAATCAAAAACCGAGAAAACCGAAAGGTAAATATAGCGAGGAAGACACTCACATGCAACACTAGTCAATAGCTGGCGAGCAAAGCTCTGGATTTGACTGTTTGGAAATGGTGCGAATGAATTTCCCTTCAAAAAGTCGAATACGCTCATCCCGAGCAAATCGGTGACGATACCTGGCAATCATATAATCGTCAATCCCACACTTCATATCCAAAGACGAGTATAATTTTAAGTTGGACGGGCGTACATATGTGATTGCGGTAGTCAAAGCAATCTCTCAAATGGATACACTTATTCCTATTTTCCTTGTCATTGCAAGATAAGGTCGCAAGCACTCTCAACTCGATTCGGGACGCATCCCGATACTTCTGAACTGATCTGATGACCTTAATAGCGCATTTAGTTTTCTTAACACGATCATATGCCTCTACAACTTTGCCAAAAGTTCCTTGGCCAAGTTGTTTGGTAATTCGGTCTAGAGGCAGAAGAAAATTAGTCAAGACTTTATACAAGCTAGTCTGGAAAGATACAACTCACATCGCGGTGTCAAATCGGTTTCGAGATTGATAATGTAGTGACCATCGTCATCATCCACCCTCCCAGTCGGATGTCTACCGGGCTGAAGGGAGTAAATATATTAGCAAAGACATACCCCAAGGAAGATAGCACTGGAGTGGAGGATTCTTCACTCACATCTGGAATTGGCTGGACATACACATCCTTCGCTTTGATAGGAGGCCTTGGGGGAGGGTGATAGCTAGAATAAGGATCTAACCCATTGTTCGCAGCCGCCGCCGCCGCCTGGCTGGCCCTTGTTACTCTCTTTCGTTTCTGGCCATTGATCGAAGCTAATGATGCTCCAGAATAAGAAGGCCCTGCCCCTACGTTTGATCCGAGTGATGTACCAGCAGTTGAATTACCATTGACACTAACTGTGCTGGAAGTAGCAGAAATGGTGGTAGGAGACCCAAAATTAGCGTGAGGGGTTTGGGTAGAAGAGTAAGAGTGCTGATGCTGGCTGGTATATGAAGGTTCGTATTGCGATGTCTGAACCTTTCGTTTCTTGTCGGCGTGGCGAGGGCCATACGCACCTCCAGCAATGTTATTTGTGGAAGGATACTGATGTCCATTGGCTGCTACTACACGGGATGAGCTGGATGGTTGCGAGTGTTTGCTGTTGGTGTTGGCACCTAAGTGGCCCGACTCTGGCGGGGGAGAATCGTCAATGACAATAACCTCCTTGGGGAGCCCGTTCTTATAGAAATCTTCCCAGTTAGGAGTCCGATTACGATTCCTCTTCACCGAAGGCTGGGTCCTAGAGGAAGCCATAGCCGAGATCGTCGACGAAGAAAAAGAAGAGTTGGTAGGGGTCGAAGCGGTTGTCACAGGCACGGGAGAGTGGTAAATAGGACTGGCGAGATGTGTACGATTCAAGAGATGAGCGTGAGGAGGAGGATGGAGAACGCGATGGTGATCTCGAGTGTAGTCGTAACGGTAGTGACTGAGGGGAGGTAGGACGGCTGAAGCGGTGGAGGGAGTAGACATTTCCAGTTCAAATCAAGCGTCCTAAAATTTGAGGTGTGGGCAGTCCCGATGATTCAACGCCGTCGTCGGTTGAACTCTTGCAACTGACGATGATGACGAACCAAAGGAGCAGCCGGCAGAAGGGGGATGGACAGCGGGAAGTTGTGAGAAGTTAAAGGGTTAAGTCAAAACGAGCCCGATATTTTGGCACCGGGAGTATGGCGGTGGAAGGGAAATGGTCAGAAGTTGTCCGAACCTCAAATCCTGCACGACGTTAGTTAGTTAGCCGTTTATCACTACGAGTAGAAAGAAGGCAGAGCGGAGTAGAATCGCGTTACCTCAAAGATGACGGCGAGAGAGCGAAGAAAGAAATGCTTTGGATAACCGCTTCTCGAGCTCTAAAGGAGGGCCACTGCTTGTTGGAAGTCGAAAGCAGCCAAAGAGGTGGTAAGTGTCAGTTGAGATTGCGGAGATAATGGTGGATGGCGGTGGACAGGGCAAAGCAGGATGATGTTAGGTCCAAGCAGTGTGATGGAGGGCAGTAAGAAGGACCGGGGTTGGGGGCGAAATTCCTGGAAGAAGATACAAGGAGGAGGTGGAAGAGGATTGAAGGCGGAGACTAAGAAGATCAAGATGATGAAGGAGGAGAATCAGAGGGAACAGAAATGCGACGGCGGCGGCGGGTATCTGAAGCCGGAGACAGTCTGGAGCGAAGTAGCCTGGCCGCTCTGCTTGCTCTCCACACTTTCTTCGTTGGGCTTGGTTGAATGGGAGGCAAAGGGCGGACAAAAAGAAAAATGTACCGTACTGCCTTCCTGCTGCGTGGGCGCGGTAGGAGATCTTGAGTGTTCTCGTCCCTATCGTATCAGCCGTGATTTACTCTATCATCAGCGATGACCTATTTTTTTTCCTCTTCCTCCTCCTCCTCCTTGTCTCCTCTCTCTCTCTTTTTTTTCCGCACAATGTCAGTTTCCCGCGGTACTTCTCTAAGTCTTGTATTACTATTTTTTTCTTTCCTTTTCTTTCTTTGCGTTCCTCTCGCTCTCTGGTGATATTGATCCTTTCCCCTATGCACGTCTCTCTGTCTTTCTGGGTCTCTCACACCCTCTCCCGGTACCGTACTATGTCTATGTTTCTCCTCGCAGCGATCTTTCTTAGACGGGACTTGACTGACTGCGGAACCCTCGGCGGTGGTGGAGGTGGTGGTGCTGGTGTGCAACTCTCGCTTTCTTAGAGTCTCTCCTCTGGGGGTGGAGCTGCAGACAGGGGGGATCCGTCGGTAGACCCACGCCAATCATCTTCCCTTTCCAAGGCACAGCATTGCCGTAACCTTTCGCTATTGCTTTCATTTCTCTTCTCTCCTCTTGTCCGCTTTTTGCCTTTTCCAAATGCTGTCCTTATCGACGTAAAAGATTATTCTTGCTGCTGCCACCCTGCTTGTAATAACAAACAAAAATTATAGTTATGTGGGGCCTAATGAAGGTAACAGCTAGCGAGTTCAAAAAAAACTCATAAATTTGGTACGATCGACGAAATTCCGTTTACCGGTACGAGTATGATACTCTAGGAGCAACATGAATAATTTTAGAAGATGCCCGTATTCTCCACCACTCTAACCTGACCTCATTGGCCTGGCAACGAAGCCCTTGATAACCGCAATGCTCACTCACTCTTCTGTCCCTAAATCTGCCACCAAATTCCTCAAGCGGCCGAGAGCACTTTGTTTTTCGGAGCACGATTTATTGTATAATATGTAAGGAAGTTGAATTGTATAATGGAACATTATACTCGTACTTTCCCGAACACATACCTTATAGTTTACAATGATGCGCCGACAAATTGAGAAATACCGGTAGCTAAGCTTCATCACGCCCCCTCCCCCCCTCATCCTCCAACACTGAGCGGGAAGGGAATGGAGGCGAGCAAGGAGGGGGGGGAATAAAAAACAATAATAACCGGGACTCGCTCGCTCTTCCGCGAGTGGCCATCCAGACGATTGGAGGGTGGCTCGACAACTCCGGCAGGTTTTGTGGTCAGGCGTCAAGCTGACTACGATTTATGGAAACAATTCTCAAGTACCGCTATCTTGTTCTTCTAGTATATGATTCCAAAATTATTTATGTGTGTGCCTGTGCGCCTGTGTACGAGCACTGTACTCGAGTACATGTCGTGAATGATTATTATGGACCCCCGACGGTGTTTTGCTCAAAGAATCCTTACATGCTTTCTGTTTATTCTTTTCAATCTCGTGGTGTTTATGAAGTGCGAGTAAGATCTCGGTGCTCACTCCCCCGGGCCAGAAATTCCGGAAGTTTATCAGTTTCCTGTTCAAAGTACTGGATTAAAGGATTATTTGGTTGAGCAGGGAACCGCACGCCGCACACACCAATGTTGCCAATTCCTTGACATTCAGGGCTCGCGAGGCTGCCAGGAAGTTATCCCGTCGGAACTTCATGGCATTCCCTTTCTCCCTCGCCTTTACCATCTCTTTCCCGTGGGGGCGTGCATCGGCCACTGTATTTGCTGTATGTAGGAGTGCGAGTCCAGGTACCCCTCATGCCTATACTGTGCTGTACATAAATGGTTGACCGGTACGGTATTCGCCTCCAAGTTCTCACCCCTTCGTGAAGCACAAACACAAATATTAACTCACAGCCAGCAGCGCAGCCGCTACCATTTGGCGCACCGGCACCCCCATGTTCCATTCTTCACTGCACGAGTAAGTTACCGGTACAAGTACTCGTACACGAGTATCTCCGCACAGTTCCAGACCTCCTCAGACATCACTCGCACACACGCAATTAGTCACCCCAGCAACGGTCAAGCCACCGCATTTGACTACCTTGGAAAAAAAATTTGGGGTTCTGCTGGCACTCTCAACCCCCCCACCATCACCCGACAGCCAAAGTAGCCCGAGTAAAGTCTCCACCGTATCGTGTATCGCTCCGACACCCTTTATCCCCTCGTAACCAACCACCATCGGCGATGCAGCTCTTGTCCCGCCATTTCCCCCCTCATCATCAGCAGCACCCGTCACAGAAGGCGTGATAAACCAAGGCAAAATTTGGGAGAAAATAAAAACCCAAGTATCAAGCCGCTTCCCAAAGTCTATTTTTTGGGTTGTTCAATGGGCTCTCTCTTTTCTTTCTTCCGCCTTCAGAAAATGCCTCCATGTTGAGTCTTTGTCCTGAATCATCTTTTCTCCCGATCAGCCGCCTCCGGGATAAAAAAAAAGGGGCCAAGATCTTGCTGCAATGTGAACCCCTGTCCTGTCAACCCTCCATTTCTCGCTCTTCTTTTGGCAGATTATCTAATCAGTGCAATCTAATCTCATCATCTAGAGACCCCGGCAGCTCGACCCAACCTTCCTCGTTCACCTGCCACTTGCTTCGACACACCATGCTCGGCGATTTTTAGGGTATCATAATCAGATCGTCATTTACCTGGCTGTAGGTGCGCGTTACGAATATTTTCATAGAATTAGGTACTGCGGAGTTATGGATTACCGGTACAGTATACTATAACTGGATCGGATCACTCGCGTTTTCCCATCCCGTGTACTCAAAAATGGCCCAGCACACTCCAGGCGCATGCATAAATAGAAAGAGGCGACTCCACCCTTCTCGCTCCAGGTGTCTAATTCCAGACAAGGGAGGTAAAACATATAGCGGTTCCCTCGAGATTGTTCTTGTTTTGGCTGCCTCCAGTACTCGAGCTCTGCTTGCCCACGGATCACCCACAGGTTATCATACTTTTCAGCAACTTAGCTCAACCCGAAACCTTTCCATCACTCTTCTGCGAAGGGGAGCCCCGGGCGATGTTTGGATCGTGGGCTATTATACCATCCCTGGTAGAGGGCAAGCAACCCTGATTGAGGGCTATAAATTCACCTCCCAACGAGGCTCTTGAAACTCCATCGTTCTCCCGAAACATTTCCCGAATGCAACACCTTAATTTCTTGGAAAGATAGATAGAACCAATAGCGCTTTCTTTCGCTTCCCCCTCTCCCACAGCCCAACCCGACAAGCCACCAATCCACATGAATATGGTATAACACAGGGGGGGCATCCCCCGAGAAACTTCGCAGAACATCAAGAATTTCCACTGTACCGCCCAGCAAACTAGTACGGTACATCAGACCCAGGGCCACCCGAGAAGCTTACTTATGCTCCTGTCACCCCTCCTCCTCACCCTCAAGTTATCCAAGGAATGCTTGCCCGGAGCCCTAGCAGTCATGGCCTTCCTCAGACAATTTTCCACAAGATGAATCTCGGCAGCTTCGGCAGCTGAACGTCTCCTTGGAGGTACATGTGGCCAAGGACAAGCGTACCGAGTTACAAGAACCACGCTACACTTTCCTAAGGCCCCTTATGCGCATCCTGGATACTGTGCGGTCATCTGATCCGACGTCGTAGTGAGGCCACGGAGGATTCTCCAAAACATGCCTTTACCGTGCTGAAATCGATGACTTTATCGCGGGTCCTGGAACATTACTATGGATGGATGGATAGATGCAATATGATAAACAAACCCGACTGCTTCTCCTTGGACAACCACTTCTGGGCAGTGTAAGATCATTGAACCGGCTCCCCTAGGAACACGAGTCTGATCTTACGATTGCATGAGCCAGATTATGCCAAATGATGTGTTCTTACCTAACCCTCACACGCCCCAAGGCTCTTCCTACTTAACCCGCATGTCCCTGTCACATGGAGGACCGACTATGGTTGCGTTACCACCTAGTAGAATGAAAAAAACGATAACCTCCTTCATCGACGGAGGCCTGACAGATATATCTACTTGTACCCGTAACATGAAAATAGCCTAATCGATCAGCCTCTTTCTTTTTCCGTAACGGGATCGTGATACCGTCTCTCTAAACCCAACCCTCCCCAATCCATCCTATCTGGGTGCTCCCGAAACATGCCACTATGATATGGTACAGTTCCTCCTCATAGAGCGCTTCACGGTGATACCGGTATTCCTTCCCCGACTAATACTCCCCACCCAACCGGAAGAGTAAAAAAGAGCCAAGCCGACATCTCGATCCTCCATCAAACCTTAAGATCCCCCATCTATCCATCTCCCCCGTGCGCCTCCGAAATCTATATAAGGCGCCGCCAATTCCTAAACTTCCGTTCCTGCCGTACCACCGAGTCATACATATCGTGTCCTGATCGGCCCGTCACATACAGCTCACATACGGTGCTCCATGACCACGTTTATCATACCGGTGGGGTACTCGGGGGGTGCGCCGGAAATCGCAAGACTGCTCCTGCCGATCCCACAAAAACATCTGCCGAGACAGAGTTGTTGTGTTTTCCGATTATTTACCTGTAATGACCCCCCGCCAGGTGCTATGACGCTTTCAAAAGCAGGGCGGTACTGTATGGTTCGAACGCGCCGGGCCGCTGACATAGCGGGCCCAGTGGACATGCGGCTCAAATGGTACCACGACTGCCGCAGTTACTTTAAGGAGGCGTGTTGTGTTACTCGCCAATTGGTAAAGGACCGCACGGTATCCGGAAATAGAGGTACCAGGACCCTCGAATTTGGGTGCAAAGCACCAGTTCTCGACATTCTTATGTCGGGATAC